CCATCTTAGGTGGGGGGGGGGGTGAAACTCCCCTACAGTTGCATAACCGTGGCCATCTTAGTGGGGGGGGGGGGAAACTCCCCTACAGTTGCATAACCGGTGGCCATCTTAGGTGGGGGTGGTGAAACTCCCCTAAAGTTGCATAACCGGTGGCCATCTTAGGTGGGGGAAAACGTCCCTACAGTTGCATAACCGGTGGCCATCTTAGGTGGAGAAGAAACTCCCCTACAGTTGCATAACCAGTGGCCATCTTAGGTGGGGGGAAACTCCCCTACAGTTGCATAACCGGTGGCCATCTTAGGTGGGGGGGAAACTCCCCTACAGTTGCATAACCGGTGGCCATCTTAGGTGGGGGGGAAACTCCCCTACAGTTGCATAACCGTGGCCATCTTAGGTGGGGAGGGGAAACTCCTACAGTTGCATAACCAGTGGCCATCTTAGGTGGGGGGGGGGTGTGAAACTCCCCTACAGTTGCATAACCGGTGGCCATCTTAGGTGGGGGGGGGGGGTGAAACTCCCCTACAGTTGCATAACCAGTGGCCATCTTAGGTGGGGGGGGGGGTGAACTCCCCTACAGTTGCATAACCAGTGGCCATCTTAGGTGGGGGGGTGTGAAACTTCCCTACAGTTGCATAACCAGTGGCCATCTTAGGTGGGGGGGGGGGTGAAACTCCCCTACAGTTGCATAACCGGTGGCCATCTTAGGTGGGGGGTGGGGGGGTGAAACTCCTCTACAGTTGCATAACCGGTGGCCATCTTAGGTGGGGGGGGGGGGGTGAAACTCCCCTACAGTTGCATAACCGGTGGCCATCTTAGGTGGGAAGAAACTCTCCTACAGTTCATCTTCTTGGTTCTTTCGGTAAAGTCACGTAGAAGGGAAGTAATAAAATAATAAAAATAAAACATAATAAAACAATTCTCACGACGTTTCGGCCACAACGCAAGCAGCCGTCCTCAGGTGAAAACCAGGTCCGTCGAGGCGACAGAGTCTGAATGAAACAGCACACGAGCTTGGAGCATATATATAAGCTGGGGCGCATTGACAAATGAAATTGCATATCAAAAGGAATTTAGCATATTTATGGGAAAATGCAGGAATGTGATTTGTACTGCATATGCATGTGCATTATCCCCTACAGTTGCATAACCGGTGGCCATCTTAGGTGGGGAGGGGAAACTCCTACAGTTGCATAACCAGTGGCCATCTTAGGTGGGGGGGGGGTGATGAAACTCCCCTACAGTTGCATAAACCAGTGGCCATCTTAGGTGGGGGTGGTGAAACTCCCCTACAGTTGCATAACCGGTGGCCATCTTAGGTGGGGGTGGTGAACTCCCCTACAGTTGCATAACCGGTGGCCATCTTAGGTGGGGGTGGTGAAACTCCCCTACAGTTGCCTACCAGTGGCCATCTTAGGTGGGGGTGGTGAAACTCCCCTACAGTTGCATAACCGGTGGCCATCTTAGGTGGGGGGTGGTGAAACTCCCTACAGTTGCATAACCGGTGGCCATCTTAGTGGGGGGTGCTCCAGTTGGTGACGTCCGCCCCTCACCGCCGTGGCCGCGTACGGACGATGTCGGCGCTTCGCTACGCGGGTCTGGACGACACGGACAGCGAGGACGAGCTCCCGCCCGCCTGGGAGGAGCGGTCGACGCCGGACGGATGGATTTACTACGTCAAGTGAGCGGGACGGGATGGTGGGTGGTGTGGGTGGGTGGTGGGTGTTAATGACGTACTGGAACAATCCCGTGTGTATGGGGTGAAAGAGTTTCGTGGTTTATACGGATTTCGACCGCGACAAAGAAAGATGTTTTTAAAAAAAATTCTAGTGCTGTGCTCGGGGTGAGGTGGACTATTTGAACATTAACAAGAAATAAAAAATAGAAAAATAAAAAATTCGCCGGATCGATTTCGTCGAATCGATTTCGCAACGGGGACCGCCGTGAATCGAATCGATTCCTTTGGCCGCTCCCCTCCCCCCGTGCTGCGCGCTCGGAATCGCGAATCGAGAGCGGAGTCGAGAAATCGATTTGGTTTCGATTCTTGAAATGTGTTGATTTCTTAGAGGGGGGGAGTCGGGAGAGAACGAAGCAGTACACACGTGTAGCAGTACACGCGGGGCAGTACACGCGGGGGCAGTACACGCGTGGGGGCAGTACACGCGTGGGGGCAGTACACGCGTGGGGGCAGTACACGCGTGGGGGCAGTACACGCGTGTGAGCGGGGCAGTACACGCGTGTGAGCGGGGCAGTACACGCGTGGGGCAGTACACGCGTGGGGGCAGTACACGCGTGGGGGCAGTACACGCGTGGGGGCAGTACACGCGTGGGGGCAGCGGCGAGCACCACCGTACAGTGCACACAGTACAGTGCAACACAGTACAGTGCACAAAGTGCAGTGCACACAGTACAGTGCAACACAGTACAGTGCAACACAGTACAGTGCAACACAGTACAGTGCAACACAGTACAGTGCAACACAGTACAATGCAACACAGTACAATGCAACACAGTACAGTGCAACACAGTACAGCGCACAAAGTACAGCGCACAAAGTACAGTGCAACACAGTACAATGAGCACAGCGCACAAAGTACAGTGCAACACAGTACAGTGCACGAAGTACAGTGCAACACAATACAGTGCACACAATACAGTGCACACTGTACAGTGCACCACGGTACAGTGCACCACGGTACAGTGCACACAGTGGAGGCCCTGCAGAATGTGAATCTGTGTGTAGGCTGCAGGAGGAGAAATCCGAAGAGCTCTAAAGCTCTTATCGTCACAGATGTCCAGTCGGGGTAGTGGGGTCGGCAAGTTACAACAACAACAACCGATTTAACTTTTACTGGTAGGAACCTCCTGGTTACACCAGCCCACAGGGGATTATTGTGTCCGTCCGTCGTGCAGGGAGGGGCTGGGTGGGGAGGGAGGGGCTGGGTGAGGGGTGGGGCTGGGTGGGGAGTGGGGCTAGGTGGGGAGGGGCTGGGTGGGGAGTGGGGCTGGGTGGGTGGGGGCTGGGTGGGGAGGGGCTGGTCACCCCGTGGTGCCCTTATAAAACTCAACGTTTGACCTACTCACGCCGGCTTGTGCCCGCCCTCACAGTCGGGCATATTTGCGGAATACACCACGCCGCCGTTGACCCTGCAGGCCATTGACCGAGCAACCCAACGTTCCTACCAGCTCCCTCCGCAGGAATGTGTTTTTTTATTTGAGCCATATAGATCTTGACTTGAAGCTTTCGTGACTGCAGAAATTCATGTTCTTTGGGTCTTTCGAGGAAGTCACGTGGATAGGTTCAAAGAAAATAACAAAAAGCTGCGACGTTTCGATCGCAACACAAGCGGTCGTCTTTGAACCTATCTGCGTGACTTTACCGAAAGACCCGAAGAATACCTGCCCATCGCAAACGATAGCTCAACGAAATGGCTTATCGCCATAATCATCATCACGTGGAAATTTAAACGCGTGACGTTGATTCTAAATGTGGAGGGTGAATCCGGAGGACTCGGAGAAAATTCCACACGACCACGGGGAAAGAGAGAGAGAGAGACACCGCAAACTCCAAATATACAGCAGCAGGCGCCAGGATCGGGATCGAACCCACGACCTCCTGTACACCAGGCGAGGTAGTTAACATCTAGCCACCGTGATGATAATGATGAGAGAGACGCAGACTCCAAATATACAGCAGGCGCCAGGATCGGGATCGAACCCACAACCTCCTGTACACCAGGCGAGGTAGTTAACATCTCCTAGCCACCGTGATGATGATGATGAGAGACACGCAAACTCCAAATATACAGCAGCAGGCATCAGGACATGATTGTGGTTGGACATGATTGCGGCCGCTTCCACAGTAACTCTGTCTCCTCTTCCCCCTCTCGCCCGCCTCCACTCAAAGTCATGCAGAGCAGAAGACCCAGTGGGACAACCCCAAGACAGGCAAACGCAAGAAGGTGGCTGGAGGTGAGCGTTCATCATCATCATCGTGACTTTACCGAAAGAACCAAGAAGATCATCATCGTCGTCATGATGATCATCTTCTTAGTCATGTTTAGCGCTAATCGCTACGCCACCGCTCCCCACAGGTAAAAACACACACAGACAGACATACACACACAGACACACACACAGACACTGACACACACACAGATACACACACACACAGATACACACACACAGACACACACACAGACACACACACAGACACTGACACACACACAGATACACACACAGACACACACACAGACACTGACACACACACAGGCACTGACACACACACAGACACACACACACAGACACACACACACTGACACAGACACTGACACACAGACACTGACACACACACAGACACACACACAGACACACACACAAAGATCCCGCCTTTGTCTCCCTCGTGGTGATGTTTACACACCGTACCCGGCCGAGTACGGGTAGGGTATGGGTAGGGTACGGCCGGGTACAGATACGGGTACGGGTACCCGCTTGCGACCCTGGTGCGGCCGGGTACAGGTACGGGTAAGGAATCAAAACCCGTTTGCGACCTCTGGCCTCTCTTCACCGCAGAGCTCCCGTACGGGTGGCAGCAACTCGTGGACGCCAAGGGCCAAGTCTACTTCACCGAGTGAGTGCACACACACGCACACACACACACGCACGCGCACGCACACACACGCACACGCACACACGCACACGCACACGCACACACGCACACACGCACACACACGCACACACAGACACACGCACACGCACACGCACACACACACACGCACACACACACACGCACACACACACGCACCGTCGTCACGGAGTGAGTGCGCACGCACGCATCGTCACCGTCGTCACGGAGTGAGTGCGGTCACACACACACCGTCGTCACGGAGTGAGTGTGGTCACACGCCACGTGCACGCGACGTTGAGTTCAACACGCACTTCCAACGTACAGGCGCGTGCCTACGCGTGGCTGTTGCTGCTGTTGCTGCTGCTGTTGCTGCAGCTGCTGCTGCTGTTGCTGCTGCTGCTGTTGCTGCAGCTGCTGCTGCTGTTGCTGCAGCTGCTGCTGCTGTTGCTGCAGCTGCTGCTGCTGTTGCTGCAGCTGCTGCTGCTGTTGCTGCAGCTGCTGCTGCTGTTGCTGCAGCTGCTGCTGCTGTTGCTGCAGCAGCTGCTGCTGCTTCCCCGGTCGTCTGCGGGTTCCTCCTCCTCCTCCACCTGGCGGCGCCCCTGAGTTGTCGTCCTCGCGACGTCTTTCTGTCTGTCTCGCTCACTCGCTTTCTCGCTCTGTCTCGCACTCTCTCTCTCACTCACTCTCTCTCTCGTTGTGTCTCTCTCTGTCTCGCTCTTTGTCTCACTGTCTCTCTCTCTCTCTGTCTCGCAATCTCTCTCCCACTTGCTCTCACTCTCTCTCGCTCTCTCGTTCTCTCTCTCTCTCTCTGTCTCACTCTCTCTCTCTCCCACTCGCTCACTCTCTCTCTCGCTCTCTCTCTCTGGCCACCGCGCGTCCTGCGAGCAGCCACATCAACGGGCGCACGACGTTTGTGGACCCGCGCCTCGCCTTCCCCGTGGAGCAGACGGGGGCGGCTCGCTCCTCCTCCTCCGCCGCCGCGTTCCGCCAGCGCTTCGACGGCAGCAGCACGGCACTCGACGTGCTGCAGGGTCGCGACCTCAGCGGCGTCGTCGCGCTGGTCACCGGCGCCAGCAGCGGGATCGGTGAGTGGGGTGGGTGAGTAGAGTGGTGAGTGAGTGAGTGAGCGAGTGGGTGAGTGGATTGGTGAGTGAGTGAGTAGGTGAGTGATTGGAGTGGGTGAATGGGTAAATGAGTGAGTTAGTGGGTGAGTGGATTGGTGAGTGGTTGGATGAGTGAGTGAGTAGGTGAGTGATTGGGTGGGTGAGTGGGTAAGTGAGTGAGTGAGTGAGTGGGTGAGTGAGTGGATGAGTGAGTAGGTGAGGAATTTGGTGTGTGAGTGGACGGGTGAGGGAATAGGTGAGTGGGTAAGTGAGTGAGTAGGTGGATGGGTGGGTGAGTGGATTGGTGAGTGAGTGAGTGGATGAGTGATGAGTGAGTAGGTGAGGAATTTGGTGGGTGAGTGGATGGGTGAGTGAGTAGGTGAGTGAGTGAGTGAGTGGGTGAGCGGGTGAGTGGATGAGTGAGTAGGTGAGGAATTTGGTGGGTGAGTGAACGGGTGAGGGAGTAGGTGAGTGGGTAAGTGAGTAAGTGAGTAGGTGGGTGGGTGAGTGAGTGAGTGGGTGAGTGGATGAGTGAGTAGGTGAGGAATTTGGTGGGTGAGTGGATGGGTGAGTGAGTAGGTGAGTGGGTGAGTGGGTAAGTGAGTGAGTGAGTAGGTGGGTGGGTGGGTGAGTGGGTAAGTGAGTAGATGAGTAGGTTGATGGATGAGTGGATTGGTGAGTGAGTGGGTAAGTGGATGAGTGAGTAGGTGAAGAATTTGGTGGGTGAGTGGACGGGTGAGGGAGTAGGTGAGTGGGTAAGTGAGTAAGTGAGTAGGTGGGTGGGTGAGTGGATTGGTGAGTGAGTCAGTGGGTGAGTGGATGAGTGAGTAGGTGAGGAATTTGGTGGGTGAGTGGATGGGTAAGTGAGTAGGTGAGTAGGTTGGTGGGTGAGTGGATTGGTGAGTGAGTGAGTGGATGAGTGAGGAGGTGAGGAATTTGGTGGGTGAGTGGACGGGTGAGGGAGTAGGTGTGTGGGTGAGTGGGTAAGTGAGTAAGTAGGTTCGGTGGGTAAGTGAGTAGGTGAGTGGGTTGGTATCGGGTAGGGTACGGGTATCGGGTAGGGTACGGGTATTAGGTAGGGTACGGGTATCGGGTAGAGTACGGGTATCGGGTAGGGTACGGGTATTAGGTAGGGTACGGGTATCGGGTAGGGTACGGGTATCGGGTAGGGTACGGGTATCGGGTAGGGTACGGGTATCGGGTAGGGTACGGGTATTAGGTAGGGTACGGGTATTAGGTAGGGTACGGGTATCGGGTAGGGTACGGGTATCGGGTAGGGTACGGGTATCGGGTAGGGTACGGGTATCGTGTAGGGTACGGGTATCGGGTAGGGTACGGGTATCGTGTAGGGTACGGGTATCGGGTACCCGGTTGCGACCTCTGCCGTGCACACCACACGCAGCGTGCGCACGGCACTTGCCCCAACGTCCGCTGCGGGCTACACCGGCGGACCTTTGTCTGTGTGTGGTCACGTGTGTGCCGCCCCCCCCCCCCCCACCACCGGCAGGCTTTGAGACGTCGCGCTCTCTGGCGCTGCACGGAGCGCACGTCTTCCTGGCGTGCCGTGACGACGCCAGGGGTGCGCACGCCGCGCAGCTCATCACCAGCGAGTGGGTACGTGCTGGTTGTGGGAGTGTGGGTGTGTGGGTGTGGGTGTGTGTGTGTGGGTGTGTGTGTGTATGGGTGTGTGTGTGGGTGTGTGTGTGTGTGGGTGTGTGTGTGTGTGGATGTGTGTGGATTTATGCTGGGTACCTGTTGGGCGTATGGTGGAAATTACGGCACGTTTTAACCGTCTCTGCCTCATAATCAACGTTTTTGGGTTTAGATCGCGTTATTTATAAATGTGTCGTAACCCTCCACCACCCGACACGGCCAATCAGTAAAAAAGTGTCACGTTGACAAAAGACAAATAGTTCACTGCTTTAGCCCACCGGTGTGTTGAAGCGTGAAACCACAACATTTACAATTTGAGTAGCACGACGTTTCGCTGGTAATTGCATCCAGCATCATCGGGCAATTCGCCAGAATGGTGAGGCTCTCCTGTGTCTCCCGTTCTTATATAGAGCAGCAGCAGGGTGACGTCATCATTAACTCATTAACTCATCAGGTGCAAAGATTCAAGGGGGGGGGAGTGATTGTAATTATATACTAGATTAGTAATCAGGCTATTGTTACGATGCGAGTTGTAGATTAGTAATCATTTGGAATGTGTTTTATTGTGATTATGCTACATTAGTAATCAGTTAGTGGTTGTTTCCCTTATAAGGAATTGTAATGTATCTTATTTAATAATACGCTTCCAGGCCGCACTAAGCCTGTAGCTGTCTGTCTCTCTCTCTGTCTCTGTCTGTCTCTCTGTCTGTCTCTCTGTCTGTCTGTCTCTCTCTGTCTCTCTGTCTGTCTGTCTCTCTGCCTGTCTCTCTGTCTGTCTCTCTGTCTGCCTCTGTTTGTCTCTCTGCCCGTCCCTCTGCCCGTCCCCTCTCTCTCTCCGTCTGCTCCCCAGCCCCAGGCTCAAGTGGACGTGCTGCCGCTGGACTTGGCGTCGCTGCACAGCGTACGCGAGTGCGCCGACAGCTTTATCTCCCGGCGCCTGTAAGCGGCCGCTCCGTTTTCACGTTTACTCAGCGAGCACCCTCCCTCAGAGGTCGCAAACGGGTTTTGATTCCGTACCCGGCCACGTGACTTTACCGAAAGAACCAAGAAGATGAATCCATGCAGTCACGAAAGCTTCAAATCGAAATTTAATATTTTAGCATGTTTTATTATTTTATTATTTCCCTTCCACATGACTCTACCGAAAGAACCAAGAAGATGAATCCCTGCAGTCACGAAAGCTTTACATCGAAATAAAATACAATTCTCACAATTGTATTTTATTATGTTTGAGAATTGTATTTTATTATGTTTTATTTTTGTATTTTATTATGTTTTATTATTTATTATTTTATGATTTCCCTTCCACGTGACTCTACCGAAAGAACCAAGAAGATGAATCCCTGCACTCACGAAAGCTTTACATCGAAATTCAAGGTGACGATGCCGTTGACCCCCGCCCCCTGACCCCTGACCCCCACCCCGTGCCAGGCCCCTGCACGTGTTGGTGTGCAACGCCGCCGTCTTCGCCGCTCCCTGGAGCCTCACGGAGGACCTGCTGGAGTCCACCTTCCAGGTGAACTACCTGGGCCACTTCTACCTGCTGCGCCTGCTCCAGGAGACGCTGGTGCGCTCGGCGCCGGCGCGGGTCGTGCTCGTCTCGTCCGAGTCGCACAGGTGTGACGCTGGCGCCCGCCGGTCGATGAGAAGGTTTTCGGGCGGTTCCCTCCTCCGAGTTTGCGGAGTTTCGGGTGTTTTTCTTGTTCTTTTAACCCCTCCGTGGAAATGTATCGGTTAGCGCGATTGGAGGCGCCGCCTGCCCTGTTGGACATCGGTGATGAAGAGCTTCATAGCTCATCGGATTTCTCCCGCGTGGATGCGATACTGCGATTCCTTCTCACCGTCTGTCTGTCCGTCCGTCCGTCTGTTTGTCCGTCCACCTGTCCGTCCGTCTGTCCCTCTGTCTATCTGTCTCTCCATTTCTTTGTCTGTTCATCTGTCCATCTGCCCATCTTTCTATCCTTCTGTCCATCCGCCCATCCGTCTGTCCCTCTGTCTATCTGTCTGTCCAATTCTCTGTCTGTTCATCTGTCTATCTGCCCATCTTTCTATCCGTCTGTCTGTCCATCCACCTGTCCATCCGTCCATGCATCTGTCCCTCTGTCTATCTGTCCATTTCTCTATCTGTCTTGTCATTTATCTGTCTGTTCATCTGCCCATCTTTATATCTGTCTATCTGTCTGTCCGTCCGTCTGTCCATCTGCCCATGCGTCTGTCCATGCGTCTGTCCATCTGCCCATGCATCTGTGCATGCGTCTGTCCATCTGCCCATGCGTCTGTCCATCTGCCCATGCGTCTGTCCATCTGCCCATGCGTCTGCCCATGCGTCTGTCCATCTGCGCATGCGTCTGTCCGTCTGCCCATGCGTCTGTCCGTCTGCCCATGCGTCTGTCCATCTGCCCATGCGTCCGTCCGTCCCTCCGTCGCTCCGTGCGTTCCCGCAGGTTCCCCGAGCTGGACGGCGCCGGCTTCCGCGTGGATCTGTCGCGCCTGTCGCCGGCGTCGCGCTCCGACCACTGGCCGGCGCTCGCCTACAACCGCTCCAAGCTGTGCGCACTGCTGCTGGTGCTGGCGCTGCACGCTCGCCTCGCGCCGCTGCGCGTCGCCACGCACGCCGTGCACCCGGGCAACATGGTGTCCACGCGCCTCGCTCGCCACTCCTGGGCCTACCGCCTCCTCTTCCAGCTCGCCCGCCCGTTCACCAAGTCCCCGGTGAGGCTCGCCGCCGCGCGGGGGAGCTTTGTCTCCAAACGGTTCAACTGTTCCATTGGAAGGTGTCAGTTTTGTTGCCAGATAAAAGGGTAAAAAAAGAATTATCATGTTTTGCTACTGGCAAAGGAGGTTCCAATGGTGTGAATGCTTACCCCAGCTCTCATATTCTGATGGTGCATTGTCTTTGAGTTGTGCGCCTTTTGGCGTCATCTGGTCCAACACCATGTGAGACTAGGCTCTAAGGAAAGCTGTCTCGGATGTGGACCAATCAACTTCAAGGACAGTGCATACATTATCAGAGTTATGTTTTTTGTTTGCATTACGACTGCAGGTATTGTGGTCTATGCAAACATGACTCCTTGTAAAAAAGGTGTCAGTTTTGTCGCCAGATAAAAGGGTAAAAAACAATTATCATATTTTTTACTGGCAAATGAGGTTCCAATGGTGTAAATGCTTCACCCCCAGCTCTCATATTCTGATGGTGCGTTGTCTTTGAGTTGTGCGCCTTTTGGCGTCATCTGGTCCAACACCATGTGAGACTAGGCTCTAAGGAAAGCTGTCTCGGGTGTGGACCAATCAACTTCAAGGACAGTGCATACATTATCAGAGTTGTGTTTTTTGTTTGCATTACGACTGCAGGTATTGTGGTCTATGCAAACATGACTCCTTGTAAAAAAGGTGTCAGTTTTGTCGCCAGATAGAAGGGTAAACAAAACAATTATCGGTTCATCTGTGGTTAGTATTTGTACACCAGGGTGAGATTGCCGACGCGATCGTCGTGGTGCTCGAGTTGTCAACGCCGTGGGTTCACGCTCCAGCACATCGGCTGTGCTGCAGTAGCCACCAATTGACACGTTTTTTTGTTTACGTGACGAACCTTTATTCAGCGGCCGTGTCGGGTGGTGGTGGTGGTGATTCTGGCTTTAACGGCACAACATTCATATTTACGTGTCCTCACCCCAACAAAAAACCCCTTTGTTGTGACTAGCATTGGTCGCGAATGTCCACCACGTGTTCAATTAAACGGGGGGGATCTCTTGTCTGGAACGGGGCGTCTCCACACACAAAAAAAGACAAAGGTCCCCCATGTAGCCTGAACAGTCTGTAGGGGCAAGTGCTGTTAGCGAGCACCTATGAAGGCCGACCACGGCACACGAGGGGGTGGGTGGCCAGCACCACGCCCGGCCGCCTTTGTCTCCCCAGTGCCGTTGTTTACTGCACACTGCACCAGGTACTCATTTGAGGCTGAGTCGACCTAGAGGAGGCCCTCGGCCGATTCAGATAATCGCCACCGATGTTGTCCGTGAGCGGGAATCGAACTCAGGTCGCCGGGTTCGTAGCTCAGCGCGCTAACCGCCACGTCACCGCTCCCCACACTACGCACGCACGCACGCACACACACACGCACACACACACACACGCACACACACACGCACACACACACACGCACACACACACGCACACACGCACACACACACACCCACACACACACACGCACACGCACACACACACGCACACACACACACACACGCACACACGCACACGCACACACACACGCACACACACGCACACACACACGCACACACACACCCACACACACACACGGACGAGCAGCAGCAGGCGGCGGCCACGACGGTGTACTGCGCGACGGCGCCGGAGCTGCAGGGCGCCAGCGGCATGTACTTCAACAACTGCTGCCGCTGCCTCCCGTCCGCGGCCGCACAGAGCGAGGAGCTGGCGCAGGACCTCTGGGAGCTCAGCGAGCGCCTCGTGAGCGAGCGCATGGGGCCACTGCCGCCCGCTGGCAATGCCTGAGGCGGCGGCGGCGGCTGCCAGGACTGGGGAATCGTTGCGTTGATCAATAATTGTTGTTGTTGTCGTTTCTATTTTTGTATTATTTCACTTTTTTTTTTACTAAATACGCAAATTGTCGCAGCGGTGGCTAGGAGATGTTGACTACCTCGCCTGGTGTACAGGAGGTCGTGGGTTCAGTCCCAACCCTGACGCCTGCTGCTGTGTATTTGGAGTTTGCGTGTCTCTCTCTCATCATCATCACGGTGAATAGGAGATGTTGACAACCTCCCCTGGTATACAGGAGGTTGTGGGTTCAATCCCAACCCTGACGCCTGCTGTGTATTTTGAGTTAGCATCTCTCTCTCGCACATGATCATCACAGTGAATAGGAGATGTTCACAACCTCGCCTGGTGTGCAGGAGGTCGTGGGTTCAGTCCCAACCCTGACGCCTGCTGTATATTTTGAGTTAGCATCTCTCTCTCGCACATGATCATCACAGTGAATAGGAGATGTTCACAACCTCGCCTGGTGTGCAGGAGGTCGTGGGTTCAGTCCCAACCCTGACGCCTGCTGTATATTTTGAGTTAGCGTCTCTCTGTCATGATCATGCTCCTGCTGCTGCTGTGTGACCCCAATAGAATCATATGCAGGTTACATTTGTTTCCAGCAGTCACATCGAGTTGTGGTGGTGGTTTTTTTTAATCCGTGGGAGAGAAGAGAAAAAAAACCCGCACGCAGAACGAGGGTGCGAGATGTCACGCGCAAACTCTCTCGACACGGGCATCAGATTGGGGAATCGAACCCAGGCCATTCTTGCCACTACGCTGCGCTGTGACGATTCGATACTGGGGTTGGCTGGGTCGGGATCTATTTTGTCGTTTAGCGAGCTTTGTTTTCATGATCACCGTATGTAACAATTTTGTAAAATTTTTCTTTGGTTCTGTCGGTAAAGTCACGTATAAAGATAAAATAATAAATTAAATAATAGCATACTACGACGTTTCGATTGCAACACAAGCAATCGTCATCCGGTATAAAATAAATATATAGCAACAAAAATCTAACCAGAAAACTCTAGACAGACATCTAAGCAGACAGACATCATAAAGATACACAGAGAGAGAGGTCGTCTCTGTGGCGGGGCCCCCTCTCTATATTTAAAGCCCCGTCACAAAGACGACCTCTCTCTTTGTGCCAATACGTGTTCTCTCTCTCTGTGTGTATCTTTATGATGTCTGTCTGCTTATATGTCTGTCTATAGTTTTCTGGTGAGATTTTTGTTGCTATTTCTTTTATACCTGATGACGATTGCTTGTGTTGCAATCGAAACGTCGTAGTATGCTATTATTTAATTTATTATTTTATCTTCATACGTGACTTTACCGAAAGAACCAAAGAATAATTCCTGCAGTCACGAAAGCTCCAAAATTAATTTTGTAAAACCCGCATCGGTTCCGTTCCGTTCGAAGCCGAATCGTAAAACAAATCATCGTGGCTCTTCTGACTCTCACGCAAGCAATGTGTTTTTATTTTTCCCCGCGTATTTTTCCACTAGGTGGAAGTTCTGTAACGTGCGATCAAAGACGGTTATGACCTTCACGTTGGAAAGGCGGCGAGCTGTTATCATGTTCGTTCACATCCTCTGCTGCTGCTGCTGTATAATGTAAAGCGGAATTTACCGCAGAGTGAAATTGCTATTCTTAGGTTTTTTTCCGGTAAAGTCACGTAGGTAAAAAAATCAAATTAATAAAAAGTAAAATAAAATAAAAATCACGACGTTTCGGAGGCAACACAACGTCATGATTTTTATTTTATTTTACTTTTTATTAATTTGATGTTTTTTCCTACATTACTTTACCGAAAAAACCTAAGAATATGAATCCTTGCGGTCACGAAAGCTTCAAATCCTGAAATTGCTATTCAGTGGTTCGCGAGGACCATTGCAGTTTCAGCGACCCGGGCAATTTCCCTACGGTCCGTGTTTGGCCTCGACGCAGATTTGTTCCTGTAAATATGATTGTTGTAAAAGTACCACTGACTGCGTCGTTGTAACGTTAAATTGAATTAAAAACCCGGCAAGCCAATCTCTCAAGGGAGTCTCTCATTTTGTTGGGCGGTGGGGGGGAAGGTTAAACATTTCGATTTAAAGCTTTCGTGACTGCAGGGATTCATCTGCTTGGTTCTTACGGTAAAGTCACGTAGAAGGGAAGTAATACAATAATAAAAATAAAACATAATAAAATAATATAATAAAATTATAAAATATAATAATATTAAATAATAATAAAATAAAAGAAGATGAAGGTTAAACATTACAAACAAACAAACAACAACAGCCCCCATTCTCCACTAAGTGACCGGTGGCGTAACCACGGTGGCGTGTGCCAGGCTAGGTGCACTTTGAGGCCATCGCTGATAGAGGAGGTCACGGGACAGAACCAGGTGGCATCAGTCGACTGAGATGACTGGCCGATGCCACCAGCTGTGATCCCCTCTTGCTGTGCTCGGGTATGCCCCACTGGGCGTGCTTAGGGGCCGTCCATAAATGACGTCACGCACCTGGGGGGGGGGGGGGGGTCAGACAATTGGGACGTCACAAGAATTCGTAATTTTAAATAAATATAGACGACACGTTCTACTTAATTAAATAGACTTTCTAATAAATGTTTTCTCTACTTGGTTCTTTCGGTGAAGTCACGTAGAAGGGAAGCAATAAAAAAAACATAATAAAATAAAATAATTCTCACGACGTTTCGGCCACAACGCAAGCAGCCGTCCTCAGGTGAAGAATGAGACATTTCCAAGCTAGGAGCTAATATATACGCTGCGTTGGAGGTGCAAGAGCGCCTTAACAAAAATAATGTGCATATGAAGAGGAATTTAGCATATTCATGGGAAATGCGTAGGAGGTGGGTGAATATGCTAAATTCCTCTTCATATGCACATTCTTTTTGTTAAGGCGCTCTTGCACCTCCAACGCAGCGTATATATTAGCTCCTAGCTTGGAAATGTCTCATTCTTCACCTGAGGACGGCTGCTTGCGTTGTGGCCGAAACGTCGTGAGAATAATTTTATTTTATTATGTTTTTTTTTGCTTCCCTTCTACGTGACTTCACCGAAAGAACCAAGAAGATGGATCCCTGCAGTCACGAAAGCTTTAAATCGAAATTTAAATGTTTTCTCCTACAACATCAGAGTGCAGCGCCACATTAAATACGCACTTCGATGACAATAGTTTAAAGCGATTTGAAGCATGTTTTATTTTTTGGGTGGGGGGGGCAAAGCTTTGTGACGTCATATTAGAGGGGGGGCAGAGCTTTGTGACGTCATATTAAAGGGGGGGGTCAAAAATTGTCAAAAATCGCGTGACGTCATTTATGGACGGCCCTTTAAGCTGCGCTACAAACTCGGGAGCGATTCCCGCTCACGGCCAACACCGGTGACGATTATCTGATACCGGTCCTGGGCCTCCCCTAGGTCGACTCAGCCTCAAATGAGTACCCGGTGCGGTAGATTAAAACATCGCCACTGGGGAGACAAAGGCGGCCGGGCGTGGTGTTGACCGTGCCGGCCTTCATAGGTGCTCGCTAACAGCACTTGCCCCAAGAGGCTGTCGAGGCTACACGGGGGATCTTTGTCTTTGCCTGTCCCAGGCCGTTTCTGGAGCTGATGGAATGTGAACAGACAAAGAAGCGCTTCATAGATCATCGGATTTCTCCACTGCAAATATTCAGATTTTGTCTAAATAGAAGAAAAACTGAGTTATTATTTAGTTCTTTCGGTAAAGTCACGTATAAAGATAAAATAATAAATTAAATTAATTCCTGCAGTCACGAAAACTCCAAATTAAGTTTAAAAACGGAGTTATTTATTTGTTTAAGTGGAGAGACAAAGACGGGAAGGAAGGTGACGTCATTATCTGCTTCATTTGTTCCACTCAATCATGTGTATGATGTCACGCAGGCCTTTGTAAAATATGACGTCATACAACGCGTACGAAACTGTTGCGATGACGTCATTGCGCCCGCTTCAGCGGCGTCACACCTTGACCGCTTCAGCCAACGGCGTCTGACGTCATTTATCTCCGTTGTATGGGGCTCGTGACGTCATACACATTCCTTAAGATCTCGAGGGGGGGGTTGGTGGACCCCTCCCCACCCAGGACATATGCGTGACGTCATGTACGCTGATTAAAACGAGAGTCTGACGTCACCGCCGGTGTCCTTAACCCGTGACGTCACTGGCCCGTACAGTAACACACGTGTGCGCGTGTGTGTGTAAGTGGCGGTGACTCAATCATTCGCGTGACCCCTTTTATTATTAAACTTTGAGCTAACTTTAGTTTACTTGTGATTGGTTACGGGGGTGACCCCCGGGTTCAGCCAGCAGCCGCCGGTTAATTTTTTTTTAAAACATTTCCTTTTCCCGGTGAGGTAAGAGAACCCCGAGTTCGATTCCACGCTCTCCCCGACCCCCCCGCCGCCCCGTTCGAGAGAGCGATCAGCCGAGCCGGTCCCGGGCCTGGTTCGACTTCCAAGCCGCCGTCGGTGAGTCCGGGTCGCGTGTAAGAGTCGCTGCCGGGGAGACAAAGACGGACGGGCGTGGTTGCTGCTGCTGCTATTGCTGCACACCCACACACCACTTCGCATAGCAGTGTGTTGTGGCCTGCCTTCAACTCGTTCTCGCTTGCCCCAGCAGTCTCTTGAGACGCCACGGTGGCTAGGAGATGTTGACTTCCTCGCCTGGTGTGCAGGAGGTCGTGGGTTTCGAGGTTCGATCCAGACCCTGACGCCTGCTGCTGTATATTTGGAGTTTGCGTGTCTCTCTCATCATCATCATCACGGTGGCTAGGAGATGTTAACTACCTCGCCTGGTGTGCAGGAGGTTCGTGGGTTCGATCCCGATCCAGACGCCTGCTGCTGCTGTATATTTGGAGTTTGCGCATCTCTCATCATCATCATCATCACGGGGGCTATGAGATGTTAACTACCTCGCCTGGTATACAGGAGGTCGTGGGTTCGATCCCGACCCTGACGCCTGCTGCTGTATATTTAGAATCTCTCTCTTCCCGTGGGTTTCCCCTCCACATTTAGCAACACGTGTTGAGATGATTCAGATAATTTTGCCGCTTTGAATGTCCACATGATGGTGCCACTTTGGTGAGCGATCATTCGCTTTTCAAAAGTAAATACCTCTGTGGGCTTTGCGTGGGTGGTAGGATGGGGGTTAGGGTTTGTATTCTTAGTTTTTTTTCGGTAAAGTCACGTAGGAAAAAAATTTAAATTAATTAAAATAAAATCAAAATCACGTTTCCGGAGGCAACACAAGCTTCCGTCTTCAGGTGGAACCGTCACAGCACGATAGCTGTATCAAGTGAGATAAATACCAAGAAAACAGAATTTCTCACTAGATACAGCTATCGTGCTGTGACGGTTCCACCTGAAGACGGAAGCTTGTGTTGCCTCCGAAACGTCGTGATTTTTATTTGACTTTTATTAATTTTCATTTTTCACCTACGTGACTTTACCGAAAAAACCTAAGAATATGAATCTGTAAAGTCACGTAGGTAAAAAATTAAATTTAATGAAAATAATTATTTTTCGATTTAAAGCTTTCGTGACTGCAGGGATTCATCTTCTTGGTTTTTCGGTAAAGTCGCGTAGAAGGGAAGTAATAAAATAATAAAAATAAGGCGCCTCGACAGACCTGGTCTTCACCTGAGGACGGCTGCTTGCGTTGTGGCCGAAACGTCGTGAGAATTATTTTATTATGTTTTATTTTTATTATTTCCCTTCTACGTGACTTTACCGAAAGAACCAATAAGAATTATTATTTTATTTTTATTAATTTTAATTTCATTTTTTACCTACGTGACTTAACCGAAAAAACATAAGAGTATGAATCCTTGCAGTCACGAAAGCTTCAAATCTAGAATTAGTGTTTGCATTTTGTTCGTGTCTGGGGTGGTTTGTTGATCTTCTACTTTGCACTCCTCCCGTGTCGCTGTGTTTGCTGTTGCGACGTTCTTAACCCCCCGTGGTCCCGACTGGACATCTGTGTGTGAAGAGCTTCATAGCTCATCGGATTTCTCCCGCAGTATAAATACTTCCGATTCTGATTCCGACAATACAGCTCTTGCCCCAGCAGTCGGTCGAGGCTACACGGGGGATCTTTGTCTTTGCCTGTCCATCCAAGACGGACAACGATTACCTCCCAGGCCGCTTGATAGATCATCGGATTCCTCCACTTTAAATATTCTGATTATCTCCAAATAGGAAAAGAATAATGAGTCATTTATTTTTTCAGGTGCATGGCGATGGGGATATGGAGCCGTCCATAAATGACGTCACGCACCTAGGAGGGGGGCGGTGTCAGACATTTGTGACGATGTGTAACGAGGGGGGGGGGGGGGGTGTTTGAGAAATGTGACGTCACATCAAAATGCGCAACTTTAAATAAATATAGACAACACGTTCTACTTAATTAAATAGACTTTGTAATAAATGTTTTCTACAACATCAGAGTGCAGCGCCACATTAAATACGCACTAATGACAATAGTTTAAAGCGATTTGAAGCATGTTTATTTTTTTTGGGGGGGGGCAGGGGTCTGACTTTTTGTGACGCCGTGTGACGAGGGGGGGGGGGTCAAAAATCGTCCAAAATCGCGTGACGTCATTTATGGACGACGACCCCTATGGGACGCTGATCGCCGGATAATCAGCCGGACGTCTGTTGAACAAGAAGAGCTTTATCGCTCATCGGATTCCTCCGGCTGTATCGGTGTTCTCATTCACAGGCCGCCAGGAGAAGTTGCCATGTGCCAGGCGAATGAAGATGACAAGGATGTGGATCCGCCGCGCGTTGGGAAGCCAAGGTTTGTCTGTCCGCGTGTGTCTCTGTGTGTGAGGCTGTGTGTCTGTGTCCGTGTGTGTGTCTCTGTGTGTGAGGCTGTGTCTGGCAGGCAAGGCTGCGTTGGCTGGGTCATGTAGCCCGCATGCCCAGCCACCGCATGCCTAAACAGCTTTTGTTCGGCCGGATTGAGGGGGCTAAACGGGCGCGGCACGGGCTGGAGAGGAGATGGAGTGATGTGGTACAGGAGGACGTGGAGCTGAGTGGACTTGCCGATGACTGGTACCAGCGGTGTCAAGATTGGCCTCTGTGGAGGAGGCTCGTGAAGGACGCTACTGGGTAGTTGGAGGCAGTCGCCCTACAACAACAACGGAGGGGGGAGGAGCGACGCTCACAACAACGAGCGGAGCGCCGGGTGGCTAAAGCACAGCAAGTTGGTACAGTAGGGGGCACAGGTGGTGCATCAGCCAGTCATCTTAGTCATCTCAGCCAGTCGACCCGTGGCACCTGCTGGGTCTGCCCCGTGACCTCCTGCCAGCGGGCGTTCGACACTTCACGTGGCCTCAAGGTGCACTTGGTCTGGTACAAGCGTCGTGGTGACATCACCGCCACTTAGTGGCGAATGGCGGTTGTTGTTGTTGTGCTGATGGCTCTGTTCACACCTCGCCCCCTCCCCCGCCCCCTCTCCGCAGTATGGGCACCGTCTGCATGAAGTGTAAGGAGCGCAGGGCGTCCATGCTGATCCGGGTCAACGACCCCTTCTGCAGGTCGCGACCTCCCCTGACCTCTACACGACCTGACCGTCGGCGGACTGCTTTGATCCGAAGTTGTGGGCGGCAGGGTGACGGGGCAGCACGGTGGCGACGCTCGCGCACCGCACAGCTAGAGGGGCCTGGGTTTGATTCACAACCCGCGTGTTATTCTGCGTGTAATTCGTGTGCTCTCCTCTCCTCCACGGTGGCCAGGAGATGTTAACTACCTCGCCTGGTACACAGGAGGGTCGTGGTTTCGATCCCGACCCCGACTCCTGCTGTATATTTGGAGTTTGTGCGTCTCTCTCATCATCATCATCACAGTGGCTAGGAGATGTTGACTACCTCGCCTGGTACACAGGAGGTCGTGGTTTCGATCCCGACTCTGACGCCTGCTGCTGTATATTTGAAGTTTGCGTGTCTCTCTCTCATCATCATCATCACGGTGGCTAGGAGATGTTAACTATATCGCTTGGTATACAGGAGGTCGTGGGTTCAATCCCGACCCTGACACCTGCTGCTGTATATTTGGAGTTTGCGTGTCTCTCTCCCCCGTAGTCTTTGTGTATTCCTGACCATATATAGTAACCATCTTCTGTGTCTCGCCATCTGTCTGTGTTTGTCTGTGTGTGCATCTGTACTGTCTGTGTGTCTATGTGTCTCTCAGCATCTCTGTGTGTCCCTCTAACTCTGTGTCCTCGTGTGTGCCGTGTGTGTGTGTGCGCTGTGTACGTCTCTGTCTGTGTGTGCGTGTCTGTGTATCTGAGTGAGCGTGTGTCCATGTGTCTCTTTCCGTGTGTGCTCTGTGTGTCCGTGTGTGCATGCGCGTGTGTCCATGCGTGCCGTGTGCGTGCCACGTTTGTGCGTGTGTCTGCGTGTGTGCTGTGTCTGCTTGTGTGCTGTGTCTGCGCGTGTGCTGTCTGCGCGTGTGCTGTGTCTGCGCGTGTGTGTGCTGTGTCTGTGCTGTGTCTGCGTGTGTGCTGTGTCTGCGCGTGTGCTGTGTCTGCGCGTGTGCTGTGTCTGCGCGTGTGTGTGTGCTGTGTCTGTGCTGTGTCTGTGCTGTGTCTGCGTGTGTGCTGTGTGCGTGTGTGCTGTGTCTGCGTGTGTGCTGTGTCTGCGCGTCTGCGTGTGTGCTGTGTCTGCGTGTTGCTGTGTCTGCGCGTGTGTGTGTGCTGTGTCTGTGTGTGTGCTGTGTCTGCGTGTGTGCTGTGTCTGCGTGTGTGCTGTGTCTGCGTGTGTGCTGTGTCTGCGCGTCTGCGTGTGTGCTGTGTCTGCGTGTGTGCTGTGTCTGCGTGTGTGCTGTGTGTGCTGTGTCTGCGTGTGTGCCGCGTGTCTGCGCGTGTGCTGTGTCTGCGCGTGTGCTGTGTCTGCGCGTGTGCCGCGTGTCTGCGCGTGTGCAGGGAATGCTTCCGCGAGTATTTTGTGCACAAGTTCCGCGCCGTCCTGGGAAAGCGCAAAGTCATCGAGCCCGGGGAGAAGGTGACTCCGCACACACCCTGCGACGCAGTACGGCCGGCGCGTTGACTCAGAATGTTCCTCGTATGCAAGGGGCTTCCTCTCCGGGTTCCTGCCAAGTGGCCGGGCGTGGTGCTGACCAGAGGTCGCAAACGGGTTTTGATTCCTTACCCGTACCTGGCCGTGTACAGGTACCCGTTCCCTACCCGAAATGAGTGACAAACGGTTACTCACCAGTGACTCACGGCCTACCCGTACCCGGCCGGGTAGCCGGGTATCGGGTAGGGTACGGGTATCGGGTACCCGGTTGCGACCTCTGGTGTTGACCCCACCACCCCCTCCGATGCTCGCCGTGCCGCTCGCTTATCGGCCCTTGCCACGAGCAGTCTGTTAAAGGCTACCTGGGGGGGGGTGGCGTCTTTGTCTTCCATCAGGTGTTGGTGGCCGTTTCAGGAGGAGCGTCGTCATGCACTCTGCTCGCTCAAGTGCAGCTGGTACGACGCGCACACAAACACCGCCGCCCGTATAGCCTCACTGCACTGTTGGGGCAAGTGCCGTTAGCGAGTAGCACCATTGAAGGCCGACACGGCGCACACACGCACACACACACGCACACGCACACATGCACACGCACAGTGTAATGGCTATCGGCCCAAACATCATCGCCGATGTTGAATTAATTTCCTGCAAAATCACTCGATTGGGAGGACACAGCAGCAACAGCAGTGCTGTTGGCGAGTAGCAGCACCACCTCCGGAGGCCGGCACGGCACACGAGGGGGTGGGTGGCCGGCATCGTCACGCCCGGCCGCCTTTGTCTCCCCAATTTGAGGCTGAGTCGACCTAGGGGAGGCCCAGGACCGGTGCAGATAATCGTCACCGGTGTTGGTGGCCGTGAGCGGGAGCCGAACTCGGGTCGTCGGGTTCGTAGCGCAGCGTAGCGCTAACCGCGGCGCCACCGCTCCCCAAACACGCAGACGCGCGCCGCACCGTTCACGCGCGACCGTGTGCGGCGCTGCCGTCTAGGGCATCGTGTCGCGTGTCCTTCCATCTTCTTGGTTCTTTCGGTAAAGTCACGTAGAAGGGAAATAATAAAATAATAAAAATTTAAACATAATAAAATAATTCTCACGACGTTTCGGCCACAACGCAAGTAGCCGTCCTCAGGTGGAGAACAGGTCTGTCGAGACAGAGTCTGAATGACAAGCCCCAGGCTTGGAGCGACTATTTAAGCTGGGATGGAGGGGCGAAGAGAGCCTTGACAAAATAATTTGCATATCAAGAGGGATTTATCATATTTATGGGAAATGCAGATATGCGATTAGTACTACTTGTGAAATGCGTAGGAGGTTTGGCGAGGGGTTTAAAGTCATTATGCCCGTGCATTATGCAGGATTAGCAGCATCAAAGGGAGGGGATAGGGGTAGCATTAATAAAGGGAGGGAGTGTTAATAGTATGTAGCTGCAGTAACTAAACCACCACGTAAACAACTAAAGTATAAACGTTCTTCCATCGCTCGCTCGACATCCACGGAAGGGCTCGGAGTAGCCCCACTTTGCCCCCCACACACTCGGAGCTTGCACTGCACGACCGGCCGGAGGCGAGTGGAGCCCAGCGATGTGACCCCGGGGCGCGGGTTGGCGACTTCCCCCGTCCTGTGTGTCTTGCAGGGTCTGAGTCGCGAGTCTCACAAGCGGCTCAAGTTCATTCCTGGACTGGTGCACGTGGACGGTACGTAGCGAGTGCGAGCGCGTGCGTTCAACGGGCTGCATAGGAGACGGAGCTGACACGGTATGGGAGGATGTAGAGCTGAGTGGACTTGCCGATGACCGGTACCGGCGGTGTCTGCGGATGAGGAGGCTCGTGAAGGACGCTGCTGCTGCTGCTGCTGCTGGGCAGTTAGAGGCAGTCGCCCTCCAACAACAACGGAGGGCGGAGGAGCGACGCTCACAACAACGAGCGGATCGCCGGCGGATTAAAATTAAGCGAGTTGGCACAGTAGGGGGTACAGCTGATGGTGCATCTGTCAGTCATCTCGGTCGGTCAACCCATGGCACCTGCTGGGTCTGTCCCGTGACCTCCTGCCAGCGAGCCTTCGACACTTCACGTGGCCTGAAGGTGCACCTAGCCTGGCACTTGGCGGAGAATGGCGGCTGTTATAATGCCGACTTGTGTATAGCGTCGCCCATGCAAATTGCCCTCACGATCGCTGACGAACCACAGACATGGTAGAAGGCGGTCGGGCAGTGAGCCATCGCCAACGGTTGCCTAAGCTTTGCGGTCCCCTATATATTAAGGTGTTTTCAGCCAATTAATGGGTGTTATGTGCATGTGCGGCGTTGTGTAAACATCTCCACTGGGGAGACAAAGGCGGTCGGGCGTGGTGCTGGCCACCCACCCCCTCGTGTGCCGTGCCGGCCCTCATAGGTACTCGCTAACAGCACTTGCCCCTACAGTCTTTTAAGGCTATACGGGGGATCTTTATATTTGTGCATGTGTGTGTACGTGTGTGTGTGTGTCCCGCTCACGGCAAACACCGCCAGTGACGATTATCTGAACCGGTCCTGGGCCTCCCCTAGGTCGACTCAGCCTCAAATGAGTAGCTGGTGCGGTGTGTAAACATCGCAGCTAGGGAGACAAAGGCGGCCGGGCGTGGTGTTGGCCACCCACCCCCTCGTGTGCCGTGCCGCCCTTTATAGGTGCTCGCTAACAGCACTTGCCCCTACAGTCTGTTAAGGCTATATGGGGGATCTTTGTCTTTGTACGTGTGCGTACCTGTGTGCGTGCGTACCTCCCCACTGGGGAGACAAAGGCGGCCGGGCGTGGTGCTGGCAACCCACCCCCTCGTGTGCGACAGTGCCAGCCTTCATAGGCGCTTCTCGCTTTACAGCACTTGCCCCGACAGTCTGTTAAAGGCTACGCGGGGGAACTTTGTCTTTGTCTGTGTGCAGAGGGAGCCGCGTGTGGGGAGACTGTGGAGGAGCGCGTCGCGGCAAACGCACGGATCGAGGAGATCTTCAAGCAGAGCGGCTTCCCCTACTACATCGTGCCCCTAGAACAGGTGCGGCGGCGTCGACAGAGATCCCCCCGTGGAGCCTTTAGCAGGCTGTCGGGGCAGGTGCTGTGTGCAGGAGGTCGTGGGTTCGATCCCCACCACGACGTTAAGGAGCGCCTCGGTGGCTAGATGTTGACTACCTCGTCTGGTACGCAGGCGGTCGTGGGTTCGATCGAAGACCCTGACACTACAGTGGCTAGGAGATGTTGACGACGCCTGCTGCTGTATATTTGGAGTTTGCGTGTCTCTCTCTCTCATCATCATCACGGTGGCTATGAGATGTTAACTCCCTCGCCTGGTGTACAGGAGGTCGTGGGTTGACCCCCACCCTGACACCCGCTGTATCATAGAGTTTGCTTGTCTCTCTCGTCCGTGGTCCCGTGAATTTTTCTCCAGGTCCTCTGGTTTTTCACCTCCACATTTAGAAACAACATAAATTTGCACGTGACAATAAGACGATAAGCCACTTCGTTCAGATATCATTTGTGATATTCGGGTCGCTTCTGCAAAAAAAGCTACGTAGCTCAGTGGGGCCTTCCCTGGTCAAATAAAGACAGTTTAGTTTAAGTCCTTTAGCGAGAGTCAGCACCTATGAAGGCCGGCACGGCACACGAGGGGGGTAGGTTCCCAGAACCGCGCCCGGACCCCCCCATTTTGTCTCCCCAGTGGCGATGTTTACACACCGCACCGGGTACTCATTTTAGGCTGAGTCGACCTATAGGAGAACCAGGACGGGCTCCGATTCGTCACTGGCGTTGGCCGCGAGCGGGAATCGAACCCGGTTGACTGGGTCGGCAACAGTCTTTTAAGGCCGTACGGACGATCTTTGTCCTTGTGTGTCGTGCACGCAGACGCGCAAAGGCGGCCGGGAGTGGCGCTGGCCACCCACCCCCTCGTGTGCCCCAGTGCCAGAGGTCGCAACCGGGTACCCGATACCCGTACCCGACCCGATACCCGGCTACCCGTACCCGACCAGGTACGGGTACCCGTTTGCGACCCTGGTGCGGCCGGGTACGGGTAGGCCGTGAGTCACTGGTGAGTAACCGTTTGTCTCTCATTTCCCAACGTCTTGTCTCTTCTCACAATTCAAGTTCCTAGAATCAACCCACCCGCGCCTGCAACATGGCTTCATCCCAGAGGTCGCAACCGGGTACCAGATACCCGTTTGCGACCCTGGTGTGGCCGGGTACGGGTAAGGAATCAAAACCCGTTTGCGACCTCTGCCCAGTGCCGACCTTCAGGAGCGCTCGCTAACAGCACTTGTCCCCAGCAGTCTGTTAAGCCTACACGGGGGCGGGGGGGATCTTTGTCTTTGTGTGTGCGTGCGTGCAGGCGTTGCGTTTGGGAAGCAGTGGAGAATGCAGTGCAATGGAAAGTGGCAGACAGAGATTTGGGCAGGGTGCTGGGCTGGGAGCTGGGCTGGAAGCTGACGGGCAGGGTGATGGGCTGGGAGCTGGGCAGGATGTTGATCAGAAAGCTGACGGGCTGGGAGCTGGTCAGGAAGCTGATGGGCTGGGAGCTGGGCTGGGAGCTGACGGGCAGGGCGTGGGGGCGAGTGTGGAGGAGACGGAGTCGCTGTGTGGGATGTTCCGGGCGACGCGGACGCTCACGGCCAGGGAGGATCTCCTCTTCTCGCTCCGGTGAGCGGTGTGTAGTCTGCGCGTGTTGCTGAGTGTGTGTGTGTATGTGTGTGTGTGTCTGGGTGTTGCTGAGTGCCGCCGTGTGTGGCTGTGTGTAGTCTGCGCGTTTTGCTGAGTGCCGCCGTGTGTGTCTGTGTGTAGTCTGCGCGTGTCACCGTGTGTCGGTGTGTAGTCTGCGCGTGTCGCCGAGTGCCGCTGCGCGTGTTGCTGAGTGTGTGTCACCGTGTGTCTGTGTGTCTGTGTGTAGTCTGCGCGTGTCACCGTGTGTCTGTGTGTGGTCTGCGCGTGTTGCTGAGTGTGTCTGTGTGTGTCACCGTGCGTCACCGTGTGTGTGTGTAGTCTGCGCTTGCTGGTGTGGTTGTGCCGCCGCCGTGGCTACGCCAAGGCGATGCTGGGGGAGTCGTGCACCCGCGTGGCCGTCAGGATCCTCGCGGCACTCGCACTGGGGCGCGGCGCCGGCCTCGCGCAGGACACGGTACGCACACACGTGAACACACGTGTACACGCAACACACGTGAACACACGTATACACGCAACACACGTGAACACACAACACACGCAACACACGTGAACACACAACACACGCAACACACACGTGTACACACGCAACGCACACGTGTACACACGCAACGCACACGCGTACACACGCGGGGACACTGCGTTATCGAAACGGTGACGCATGCACACACACACACACGCGTGTGTACGCAAGGCGGCTAATGACGATAAAGACTCTCACCCCCCGTATGGCGAAGGGGTGGGTGGCCGGCAACGCGTCCGACCGCCTTTGTCTCCCTCGTGACGATGTTGCCATTACCGCTGCCCCAGAGTGACACGTGTCACCGTGCCCTCGTGTCACCGTGTCACCGTGTCTCCGTGTCTCCGTGTCACCGTGTCACCGTGTCACCGTGCCCTCGTGTCACCGTGCCCTCGTGTCTCCGTGTCACCGTGTCACCGTGTCGCCGTGCCCTCATGTCGCCGTGCCCTCGTGTCACCGTGTCACCGTGTCGCCGTGCCCTCGTGTCGCCGTGCCCTCGTGTCACCGTGTCACCGTGTCATCCCACGGCGTGCCGCCCCCAGGGTTTCTGCGACGACCGTTTTGGCGACGTGCTCTTCCTGCGTCCCATGCGGGAGCTCTCGGCCAAGGAGGTGGCGCTGTACGTCCACGCGTTCGGCGTGCGCACCGCGTGGAGGCCCGCACTCGGCACGCGGGTACGCACGCACGTAACGAAGATCCCCCGTGTAGCCTTAACAGACTGTAGGGGCAAGTGCTGTTGTTAGCGAGCACCTATTAAGGCCGGCACGACACACGATGCATGTAGTACACGATCGACCGCCCTTGTCTCTCGATTACTGATGTACGATTACACACCGAGTCGACCTAGGGGAGGCTCAGCAATTGCCACTGATGTTAGCCGTGACCAGGAGACGACTCTGGATGTCTGGGTTTGTCGAGCAGTGCGCTAACCACTGCGCCACCACTCCCCATAATAACTCTATATTTACACGCACGCGCATACAATGATAATACAGAACATACAATATTTCATGACTTATTCACATCCATAGACAGGTACAAGACAAAGATCCCCCGTGTAGCCTTAACAGACTGCAGGGGCAAGTGCTGTTAGCGAGCACCTACGAAGGCCAGAACGGCACACGAGGGGGTGGGTGGCCAGCACCACGCCCGACCGCCTTTGTCTCCCTAGCGGCGATGTTTACACACCACACCACACCGGGTACTCATTTGAGGCTGAGTCGACCTAGGGGAGGCCCAGGACCGGTTCAGATAATCGTCACTGGTGTTGGCCGTGAGCGGGAATCGAACCCGTGTCGCCGGGTTCGTAGCGCAGCGTAGCGTAGCGCTAACCGCTGCACTATCGCACGCACATACGCACGGGTACGCACGTGTGTGTGCGCTGGCTTCGTGTGCCGTGCCGGCCTTCGCAGGTGCTACTCGGCACTTGCCCCAACAGCCTGTCAAGGCTATACGGGGGACCTTTGTGTGCGCGTGCTGTGGCCCGCAGGCCGGCAGTCAGGCGAGCATCACGAGCTTGACGGAGGCGTTTGTGACGGAACTTCAGGCGGAATTCCCATCAACCGTCTCCACCATCTACAGGCGAGATGCACACGCAGGCTGTTCGCCCACACGTGTGTGTGTGTGTGTGTCGGTGTGGGTCACTCGGAGTGTGTGTTTGTGTGGAGCGGTAGTGCATTTGGTCGGTCAGTCAGCCAGTTGAGTTGAACGATCAGCTGATCAATCGGCCAGTTGGACGATCAGCTGATAGGAATCAAAACCCGTTTACGACCTCTGCTGCAGAACCGGGGAGAAGATCGGAACGGACGACGCGTCTCGGGCGGCGGAGAAGTGCGCTCTGTGCTCGGCCTTCCTCGACACGGACGCAGGTGAACGGACGTCCTTCGCTCAGGAACGAGGCCTCGCTGCCGAGTCTCGATAGCAACAAAACTATTAAACTAAACTTATTTTATATTCTTGGTTCTTTCGGTAAAGTCACCTTGAAGGGAAATAATAAAATTTAAAAAATATAAAAAAATAAAATTCTCACGATGTTTCGACTGCAACACAAGCAATCATCATCATGTGTGAAATCCACAACAGGAAAAATTTAAGAAAAGCCACTTTTTTCAAATTTTTGTTTTAATTTTCTTGCTGTGGATTTCACACCTGATGATGATTGCTTGTGTTGCAGTCGAAACGTCGTGAGAATTTTATTGTTTAATATTTTTATTATTTTATTATTTCCCTTCTACGTGACTTTACCGAAAGAAGCAAGAATATTAATCCCCGCAGTCACGAAAGCTTTAAATAAAAATTTCAACTATTTTAGTATTTTGCCAGGTAAGAGCCCCACTGTAGCTGTCAGAAGCGTACTTCTTAGGTTTTTTTTCGGTAAAGTCACGTAGGTAAAAATAAAATTAATCGAAGTAATAATAGAAATAAAATAATAAATCACGACATTTCGGAGGCAACACGAGTCTTTTTACCTACGTGACTTTACCTAAAAAAAACCTAAGAGTATGAATCCTTGCAGTCACGAAAGCTTCAAATCTAGAACTGTCAGAAGTGTACCGGCTGTCACAAAATGACAGCTCAACTAAAGTGGCTCCTCATCATCATCATCACGTGGAAATTGACAGCAGCCAAATACTCTAGAACGTGTGATGTTTATTCTAAACGTGGAGGGAAAAACGGAGGACCCAGAGGAAATGAATTCAACATCGGCTTGATGTTTGGGCCGATAGCGGTTACACTGCGCGTGTGTGTGAGGCCATGCTGGCCTTTAAATAAAGCACTTGCCACAATAGTCTGTGAAAGCTAAACAGGGAGAGAGGGGAGGGGATCTTTGTCTTTGTTCGTGACTATGGGAGGGGGAAAATCCGGAGGTAACCCATGCAGAACAGGGGCAGGAGAGAGAGAAAACACACCAAGTCCACACGCAGACACAGACAGGCGCCCGTGTCGGGAGTTGAACCAAGGCCCCTTCTGGCCGCGAGGTGCCAGCAATACCACGACCACCACGACCACCACCACCACCACCATGACCACCACTACCACCACCACGACCACTACTACCACCACCACCACCACGACCACCACCACCACGACCACGACCACGACCACTACCACCACCACCACCACGACCACCACCACAACCACCACCACCACGACTGTGTGTATCTGACACGGCCATTATCAACCCCCCCCCCTCTGTATTTCAGTGCCGGCTTCGGCTTTGCAAGCAGCCCTCCTGTCGGAGAAGCTGTCGGGCAAACACCGCGCCGACCCCCCCCCGCCGTGCGATGATGCGGCCCAGTGCAGCTCCGGGCAGGGGGCTTGTTGCCGTGACAGCGGAGCGGACCGTTGCGTTAACGGGTAAGGATTTCGAGGTTACAACGGTTCGTGCAATCCTCGACGACTCGTCCGTGGGGGGGTGGGGGTCGCAGTGGAGTCGATTGTGGCCCCGCGGAGAGGAGAGGGGCCTGGGTTCGATTCCCGGCTGGGGCGCGTTTCTGCGTGTTGAATTTCTATGTTTTCTCTCCGCCTGTTCTGCAGAGCAAGAATGTGTGGAGTTTGTGTGATCTCTCCCTGTTCTGTGGTGAGTGAAGTGGAGTTTGTGTGTTCTCCCCCTGTCCAGCAAAGTGAGAGTGGAGTTTGCGTGTTCACTCCCTGTTCTGTGGTGAGTGAGTGGAGTTTGTGTGTTGTCCCCCTGTCCTGCAAAGTGAGAGTGGAGTTTGCGTGTTCACTCCCTGTTCTGTGGTGAGTGAGTGGAGTTTGTGTGTTGTCCCCCTGTCCTGCAAAGTGAGAGTGGAGTTTGCGTGTTCACTCCCTGTTCTGTGGTGAGTGAGTGGAGTTTGTGTGTTGTCCCCCTGTTCTGTTTAGTGAGGTGGAGTTTGTGTGTTCTCCCACCTGTTGTGTGGTGAGTGAGTGGAGTTTGTGTGGCAGGTGGTGGAGGGGTCATCACAACACAAATTTGATCAAATCATTACGGAGTGGCCTAACCCAAACATAAATCGTGAATCTTAATATTGACCACAGCAACCTCCGTTTGAGTTTCACAATTAACTGGTAGTGTGTGTGTGTGTGTCGTGTTCTGCAGGGAGTCTCTCACACAAGCTCTGTGTTATGGGTGTCGGCTGACTGTGAACGACATGGTGAGTTGGGAATACACAGAGACAAAGACCACCCATGTAGCCTGAACAGACTATTGGGGCAAGTGCTGTTAGCGAGCATCACCGATGAAGGGGGTGGATGGCCAGCACCACGCCTGGCTGCTTTTGTCTCCCTACTGGCGATGTTTACACACTGCACTAGGTACTACATTTTGAGGCCGAGTCAACCTAAGGGAGGCCCAGGACCGGTTCAGATACTGGTGGTGTTGGTGGCCGCGGGCGGGAATCGAACTCGGGTCGCCGGGTTTGTAGCGCAGCGCGCTAACCGCTGCACCACCACTCCCCACCCACACACAGACAGCCACACTCACAACTGCACCAACACACACACACGCAACAGAGACTCCACAAACAGACAGACGCGTACCCACAACACCCACCACCCTCTGCTAGGCCAGTAGATGCTAGCGTCCCGGTCATCGTCCTCACGTACGTACGTACGTAGAACTTCATACGCACCACCGTACGTAGCCAAACGTGCTAATCGGAGGTGCGTTGGAAGGACGGCAAACTCTAAACACGAAGAGCAGTTTTAAAGAAATGAGTTTTCCCACCGTCCCCATCGTTGTCCCTGTGCTGGGCGTGAGCAGGACGAGGCGAAGCTCCTGCCGCCGTTCGTTTTGGCTGAAGCGGAGCAGCGAGAGAAGAGGTGAGGGGGGGGGGGGGTGGCGGTGACGGTGCGCACACCGTCCCAGCGATGACGAACGCCACCGTAGACTCGCGCTTGGCACTGTCGGCGTCGCGCGAACAAGAGTCCGTTTGGGGTTCCTCGATGAGCAGAGCGGCACTCTCCCCCTCCCCCCGCGCGGTAGAGAACGTCCCGTGGAAGCGGATATCACAGAAGACAAAGATCCCCCGTGTCGCCTTTAACACAGAATGTTAGGGCAAGTGCTGTTATCTTCTGGGTTCTTTCGGTAAAGTCACGTAGAAGGGAAATAATAAAATAATACAAATTTGACATAAATAATTACATTTATTTTCTTTTTTCCCTTCTACGTGACTTTACTGAAAGAACCAAGAAGATGAATCCCGCGGTCACGAAAGCTTTAAATCGAAATTCAAGTGCTGTTAGTAAAAGCCGACACTGCACACGGGGGCGTGGGTGGCTCGCACCACGCCCGGCCGCCTTTGTCTCCCTCGTTGCGATGTTTACACACCGCACCGGGTACGCCTTTGAAGCTGAGTCGACCTAGGGGAGGCCCAAGACCGGTTTAGATATTCTTCACTGGTGTTGACCGTGAGCAGAAACCGAACTCGGGTCACTAGGTTCTAGGTTCGCAGCGCAGCGCGCTAACAAGTATGCCACCACCCCCCAACAACAACCGCCATTCGCCACGAAGTGGCGGTGACGTCACCACGGCGCTTGTGCCAGGCTACGTGCACGTTAAGGCCACGTGAAGTGTCAAACGCCCGCTGGCAGGTTACGGGACAGACCCAGGTGCCACGAGTCGACTGATATGAGTGGCCGATGCACCACCTGTGCCCCTTGTTTTAGCCACCTCCAGTGACAACGGAGGGCAGAGGAGCGACGCTCACAACAACGAGCAGAGCGCCGGGTGGCCAAAACACAGCAAGTTGGTACAGTAGGGGGCACAGGTGGTGCATATACCAGTCATCTCAGTCAACCCATGGCACCGAGGTCTGTTCCGTGACCTCCCATCAGCGAGCCTTCCGACACTTCAATGGCCTTAAAGTGCACCTAGCACGACACAATCACCGTGGTGACATCACCGCCACCGAGTAGTGAGAACGATGAAGGGGCGCTAGCGTCTACTGGCCTAGCGAAGGGCGGTTGTGGGTACGCGTCTGTCTGTGGAGTCTGTCTGTGTTGGTTATGGTGGTGATAGCGGTGGCGGTTATGATGGCGGTGATGGTGGCGGTGATGGTGGCGGTGATGATAATGGTGGTGGTGGTGGTGGTTGCTGGTGATGGGTGCTGTTTTCCAGGCGTCTCCTTAAGGCACAGATCCAGGAGTTTTTGCTGGAAGATGACGATGGTGGCGCTGATGAGGACGAGACCCTGTGATCCATCTCACAGAGACCCCCGTGATGTCAATGATGAGCTACGAAGGCTGGGGGGCGCGGGGGGGGGGGGGGGTTGCCCCAGATAAACATCGACACAGATGTTTATTTTTATCATCAGTACGCATGTTTACCCAGAGTGTCACAGAGGGAGGGTCCTGCATTAGGTCGGGGCTGTGATTTTGTCGCTGTTTGTAATCTGATTTGAGTAGTATGCAACGGCTTTGGGATGTTTTGGTTGATAGCGGTTACGTTGCGTGGTTCATTTTAACTATGCGAGGAAACCCGTTTGGAGCAGCGGGAGGGAGAGAGTAGTACGCACAACTCCCCCGTGTCGCCTGTCACAGACTGTCGGGGCAAGTGCTGTTAGCGAGCATCAATGAAGGCCGGAACGGCACACGAGGGGGTGGGTGGCCAGCACCACGCCCGGCCGCCTTTGTCTCCCCAGTGGCGATGTTTACACATGGCAACGGGTACTCATTTGAGGATGAGACGACCTAAGGGAGGCCTAGGACCGGTTCAGATAATCGTTCACTGATGTTGGCCGTGAGCGGGAATCGAACTCGGAATCGCCGGGTTCGTAGCGTGGCGTGCTAACCGCTGCACTACTGCTATTCTGCACATACACACTCACTCGCTCACACTCGCCCGCTCACACTCACCCCCCCCCCGCATCCTGTCTGATCGACGGCCCTGCTTGTAGCTTTGCACGCATGTGGTCAAAATCACTTTAATTTCATACAACATTGACAGACGAACGGCAACGCACACACACAATAACAGTAACCAACACTGTTTTTATCGCTACGCACGCACACACGGAGCTATTCACAGTCAGCAAGGCGACGGAGCGTCCGTATCGGTCGGGGAATTTGTACAGAGAACCGCGGGACACGTGGACCCGACGCCAATGCACACCAAAGTCAGCTGTTCGTGCTCAACACTTGTGCTCAACACTTGTGCTCAGGAAGGGTCATGAGATTGATGGTGGGGAGCGGTGGTGGAGCGGTTAGCGCTGCGCTACGAATCCGGCAACCTGCGTTCGATTCCCACTCACGGCCACCAACACCACTCACAATTATTTGAAACGGCCCTGGGCCTCCCCTAGGTCGACTCTGCCTCAAATGAGTACCTGGTGCGGTGTAAACATCACCACTGGGGAGACAAAGGCGGCCGGGCGTGGTGCTGGCCACCCACCCCCTGGTGTGCCGTGCCGGCCTTCATAGGTGCTGCTTGCTAACAGCACTTGCCCCAACATTCTGTTAAGCCTATACAGGGGATCTTAGTCTTTATCTCGATCGAGTAATTTGTAGGTAATCTTTGTTGTTTTGGTCATTACCACTTACATTGAATGGGGTTTTAATTTTTCTTTAGCTATGGGGAGGAGAACCCAGAGGAAATCCATCCAGGACGGGGAGCGAGAGAGAGAGAACACACACAACCTCCACACAGGTGGCCGAGTTGGGAATCGAACCCAGGTCCCTTAGAGGTCAGCCTGCCTGCGCACCAGATGGACCCATCTGTGTGTGTGCCTTTGTTTGGTCGCTGACCTTGGCGGAGGGAGCAAACTCAAGTCTCCTGCGACTCCGCTTGTGTCGCTCCGGGCATGAGGTTCCCACGCAGCTTCTGCAGGAGGCTGAGGGAGCCCAGGAAAAATGGGCGGATGCCGTTCACCTCCATCATGGTGAGGTTGTCCAGCTGCCGGCGATTGAGAGGAGTGGGGGTGGAGGAGGAGGGTCAATCAGCCACTGAAACAACTGGTTAATCGGCCAGTGGAGCGGTCAGCCAGTTGAACGACCAGCTGGTCAATCGGCAAGTTTAACAGATTGCCATTGCAAAAATATTAGGCAGACTCGCATTGAACCTATAGACTGGCTGGTCAATCGGCAAGTTTAACAGATTGCATTGCAAAAATATTAGACTCGCATTGAACCTATAGACTGGCTGGTCAATCAGCAAGTTTAACAGATTGCATTGCAAAAATATTAGACTCGCATTGAACCTATAGACTGGCTGGTCAATCAGCAAGTTTAACAGATTGCATTGCAAAAATATTAGACTCGCATTGAACCTATAGACTGGCTGGTCAATCAGCAAGTTTTAACAGATTGCATTGCAAAAATATTAGACTCGCATTGAACCTATAGACTGGCTGGTCAATCAGCCGGTCTAACAGCGAGCTGAACGAACAGCTGGACAACACAGCCGACTGCAGGGACCGCAGGCAGGCAGCTGGCGAGGTAGACCCACCTGCGCGTGGCTCGCCTGCTGAGACACGAAGCCGTCGGCCGAGAGACGCAGCTTGGCCGTGCGCGTGTCCCACAGGTCACGCAGCACCGACCGGATCTCGTCAGCGCGTGGGATATCGTCGGCAGCTCTGATCACGTGCAGGGGGGGGGGGGGGGGGGCACAATAAGTCATCGGTTGGTGAGCATCGCCGTTGTTGGCTGCAGTGTTGCGGGGAAGGCAAAGGTCGCAACCGGGTACCCGCTACCCGTACCCGGCCGATAGACTGGCTGGTCACGGCCTACCCGTACCCGGCCGGGTACGGGTAGGCCGTGAGTCACTGGTGAGTAACGGTCACTCATTTCCCAACGTCTTGTCTCTTCTCACAATTCAAGTTCCTAGAATCAACCCACCGGCGCCTGCAACATGGCTTCAGAATCAAAACCCGTTTGCGACCTCTGGGAGCAGGGCGGTGCTAACGCTTGTGGCCTCTGATGTTTGTAGATTCTCTCCACCCCCTGTTCTGCGTGGGTTTCCTCCGGGTTTCACCAATTTCCTCCCACAGCAAAACAAGCACACTGCAATGCAACCGGTATTGGGCCCAAACTACATCCCGAAATGCTGAACAAATATTACCTGCAAATTACTCCATTTGGGAATGGCACGCATCAGCAGCATCAGCAGCAGCATCAGCAGCAGCATCAGCAGCAACGTCACCACCACCCCCCCCCCCCCCACCTTGTTACCCTACAGCATAAACCTAACATGACCCTCTCTGGATAAGTGAGTTACTCTTGATTCACAAGGCCACATGGAACTGAGACTCCTATCGTGGTTTCAATAGTTTCTCACCTGCTTCAACAAAGCAAACTCGAGTGTTGGGGGACTAGTCGATGCTTTCCTCTATTCAGCGCGAGCTCTTTTAATGGACCTGCTGTCGTCACGGCGTTATTGTTACGTCTTAAAACACGTTATTAAAAAATAAACTATTTGGAAAAGGTGAGCAATGTATTGTTCTCCATAGCAGAAGACTTCGCCACCAAAGACAGATCCCCCCCCCATATAGCCTGTAACAGACTTGGGGCAAGTGCTGTTATACTGGTTGGAACCTCCTGGTTACACCAGCCAGAAGGAGATTATTGTGTCCGTCCGTCGTGCAGGGGCGGGCTGGGTGGGGAGGGAGGGGCTTGGTGGGGAGGGGCTGGGTGGGGAGGGGCTGGTTGGTGAGATTGGGGCTGGGTGGGGAGGGGAGGGTGGGGAGGGGCTGGGTGAGGTCAAATAATCGTCACCAGTGTTGTCCGTGAGTGGGAATTGAACTCGCCGGGTTCGTAGCACTAACCGCTGTGCTACCACGTCACTGCCACGTCACCCAACCACTAACAGTGGCGATGGCCGAGTACTCACACGTTGAGCAGCAGCTTGGAGAGCTCCATGTAGTGGGGGCTGGGCATGGGGGTGAAGGTCTGGGCCGCCCGCTCCTCCTCCCGCAGCTGCTCCAGACGGTCTGCAAAAATAACATGGACTCAATTGAGGCCGAGTGCATAGGGAGAGCGCATGGCAAAATGTGGGGCTTGCTGATAAACGGGATGAATCCACTGATTCATCCTGCACAGATTAACATAGATCCATAGACTCGGAACAGTACCCACAGACTCGCATAGATTAACGTGGAATTACAAAGCAGCCATAGACTCGCATAGTACCCACAGACTAACGTGGACTAACATAGGACCCACAGACTCGAATAGTACCCATAGATGAAAATAGGACCCATTATTATTTTCCTTCTACGTGACTTTACCGAAAGAACCAAGAAGATGAATCCCTGCAGTCACAAAAGCTTTAAATCGAAAATAAAATAGGACCCACAGACTCGTAGGATTCACAGAATCAAATAGTAGGAATGAACTAACATGGTATTATATAGGACCCACAGACTCGAATAGTACCCATGGACTAACATAATATCCAGAATCAACGTTTTTGGGTTTAGATCGCGTTATTTATAAATGTGTCGTAACCCTCCACCACCCGACACGGCCAATCAGTAAAAGTGTCACGTTGACAAAAGACAAATAGTTCACTGCTTTAGCCCACCGGTGTGTTGAAGCGTGAAACCACAACATTTACAATTTGAGTAGCACGACGTTTCGCTGGTAATTGCATCCAGCATCATCGGGCAATTCGCCAGAATGGTGAGGCTCTGCTGTCTCCCGTTATTATATAGATCAGCAGCAGGGTGACGTCATCATTAACTCATATTATCAGTATTAAACTGATAATATCCAGAGACTGGAATGGTACCCCCATCAACTAACATAGACTAACATAAGACCCACATACTCGAACAGTACCCATAGACAAACATAGCACCCACAGACTCGTAAGATTAATGGATAGTAGCCATGGACGAAGATGACATTACATGGGACCCACAGACGAGACGAAACTCCGAAAGACCTCGTATCGGCGGCTCCTGCCCGCGCTCCGTACCTACACTCATCCACTCCGGGGCTTGGATCCTGCACTTCTGCCGCTGCTTGAGGTTGATGGCCAGCCAGAGAGGCACCCGCACGGGCAGCCCCGGGTCGAAGGGTCCCAGGTCGCCCTGGCGATTCAAAGTGAACACAGATTGCCATTGCAAAGACGAGACAATAGACTGGCATCGGACCCACAGACTTGCATGGGAGCCGTAGATTTAACATGGGATTACATAGCAACCATATAACCCCATAGACTTGCATAGGGGTTCATAGATTCGCATAGGAGCCATAGACTTAACATGGGATTACATAGGAGGCATATAACCCATTGATTTGCATAGGGCTTAATTTACTCAAATTTGAGCCATAGACTAACATGGGATTACATAGGAGCCATATAACCCATAGACTGGCATAGGGTTTCATAGACTCGCATAGGATCCATAGACTAACATGGGATTACATAGCAACCATATAACCCATAGGGGCTTCATAGAGTCGCATAGGAGCCATAGACTTAACATGGGATTACATAGGAGTCATATAACCCATAGACTGGCATAGGGTTTCATACTCTTATCGGATCCATAGACTAACATGCGATTACATAGGAGCCATATAACCCATAGGGCTTCATAGAGTCGCATAGGAGCCATAGGTTTAACATGCGATTACATAGGAGCCATATAACCCATAGGGCTTCATAGACTCGCATCGGAGCCACAGACTAACATGGGACTAAACAGAACCCAGACTCGCGCACAGGGTTCATAGATTCAAACGAATCGTAGGTGGAAAAAAATAGAAATAAATAAATCACGACATTTCAATTGCTACACAAGCAATCATCATCAGGTGTGACAACCGCAGAAAGGACATTTTTACTGACGTGGGCTGTGGTTGTCACACCTGATGATGATTGCTTGTGTTGCAATCGAAACGTCATGATTGATTTATTTCTAGTCACGTAGGTAAAAAAAATGAAATGAAAATTAATAAATAAAAATATTTTATTAATTGCATTTCATTTTTTTTACCTACGTGACTTTACCGAAAAAACTTTAAAAAATGAAATTACAATTAATAAAATATTTTATTTTTATTAATTTAAATTTCATTTTTTTTTTACTTACGTGACTTTACCGAAAAAACTAAAAAAATGAAATTAAAATTAATAAAATATTTTATTTTTATACATTTTAATTTAATTTTTTTACTTACGTGACTTTACCGAAAAAACTAAAGAGTATGAATCCTTGCAGTCACGAAAGCTTCAAATCTAAAATTATTTATTTCTATTTATTATTTTTCACCTACGTGACTTTACCGAAACAAACAAAGAGTATGGACCCTTGCAGTCACGAAAACTTCAACAAATCTAGAATCAAATGAATCGCTTATGACCAATTCACCCGTAATGTGCCCCAAATTTCGGAAACTAAGCAGACTCAACCCACAGAGAGCCTGGCTTGTAATAAGGTGGACGAACCCCGTGAATGGAACAGGTGCTATAGGCTGTGGTGCGACTACGTGGTGGATAGAATCAATACTTATACTTAAGGAATCCGATGAACTATAAAGCTCTTTGTCATACATGTCCAGTAGGGGCAGATCAGAACGTTACAACGACAACAAACGATGCAAACACGAATCGATAGGTGAGGTAAAGAAATCACTCAAAAATATACACGTTCTGTTTACGTGACAACCCTTATTAGTTGGCCGTGTCGGGTGGTGGCGGGTTTAACGACACAACAATTATATATTTATACGCGATCTAACCCCAAACAAACCCGTATTATGTCGGGTTGGTGGATGGTTACGACACATTTTATACTTAACGCGACCAAAACAAAAACCTTGAACAGCACTGGACGCGAAAGCCTACAGCGTGTTAAACCGCACAAACTACAACCTTCTGCACAGGAACAAGACGTGGTGAAGTATGGTCAAAATAACTCCTCCCGTGGTGGGGGAGAGAGTGAGGAGAGGGATCGTCTCGACATCCAGCAGTGGATTTGACCAAAAGCTGATCGTGGGCCCGGCTTAGGCCGCGAAGCCTTACGGCTTTCCTAAGTCCCGGCGCCGCCTCGTCGGACGATTCCTGGGCGCGCTTTGCGAGCGAGACCGACTCACCCCGATGAGGTAAACTTTGTCCAGGGAGAAGTTGGGGATGATCGTGACCGTCTCCTCCTCCGCCAGAAATTCCACCTCCGCTGGGTCCATCGACTCGGCCATCGCGACTTTAATAAACTATTTTTTTTTTAAACTATTAAAACAATTTTGTATGTACAGCTACCGTACGCGTTAATCTCCTCACGCTTCAAGTTCCCGCGCAATTTCACCACCCACGGCCAGGGGGTCCCGATGACACGCTGAATCGATTCCGTCAAAGCATGAAAGGAATCGATTTCAGCGCGAGCGTAGCCGCTAACGAGGGAGATTTGGCGATTCTAATCGGGATCGTCGATTTCATTTGGAATCGATTGCCTCAAAAATGGGGGAGTGAGGTGGGGGGGGAAGCTGCTCTCCTATTGGTCCAGCCCCTCTAGCCCCGCCCACTCAATTGGACGCAACCACTTGAGCATCACCAAAAGGGGGTGTCGGGTGTCTTTTTTATGAATGGATTGAAACATTTTTTTGAATTAAGCGTTTCAAAACGATCTGTTTTTAGCCGATATAACTTACGAAAATATAATTTCCGCGATTTATCCTTCATGACGTCTCCAATTAGCACATTTACCGACGTAGGGGTGCGAAATAAGTTTAATATACGGTACAAACAAGTTGTTCAGTAATGGTTTGATCCAACAGCTGTTTGAAATAGCGCGGGAAAGCACAATGGGTAGAGATGGGAGCACCAGGTCGAGTTGAGTTCAATCCCCATCACTACCCCAACCCCTACCCCAACCCTACCACTACCCCTACCTAACCCCAACCCCTACCCCAACCCTACCACTACCCCTACCTAACCCCAACCCCAACCCTACCACTACCCCTACCTAACCCCAACCCCTACCACTACCCCAAGCACTACCCCAACCCCTACCACTACCCTACCTAACCCCCATCACTACCCCAACCCCTACCACTACCCCAACCACTACCCCAACCCCTACCACTACCACTACCTAACCCCCATCACTACCCCCATCACTACCCCAACCACTACCACAACCCTACCACTATCACTACCACTACCCCCATCACTACCCCAACCACTATCACTACCTAACCCACATCACTACCCCCATCACTACCCCAACCACTACCACAACCCTACCACTATCACTACCACTACCCCCATCACTACCCCCATCACTACCCCAACCACTACCACAACCCTACCACTACCCCTACCACTATCACTACCTAACCCACATCACTACCCCCATCACTACCCCAACCACTACCACAACCCTACCACTATCACTACCTAACCCCCATCACTACCACTACCCCAACCACTATCACTACCTAACCCCCATCACTACCCCAACCCTATTACTACCCCCACCACTACCCCCACCACTACCTCAACCACTGCCACTACCCCTGCTACTACACCCTGCCCCGACCCACCCAGCTACGACCAGACCTAGCACAGTGTGCAGGCCTTCATCCAGCAGTGAACAGACCATGGCTGCTGATGAGGATGACAGATGGGGAAGGCCTTCATCCAGCAGTGAACAGACCATGGCTGCTGATGAGAATGACAGATGGGAAAGCCTTCATCCAGCAGTGAACAGACCATGGTTGCTGATGATGATGACAGATGGTGAGGCCTTCATCCAGCAGTGAACAGACCATGGCTGCTGATGATGATGACAGATGGGGAGACCTCCATCCAGCGATGAATAGACCATGGCTGCCGATGCTGATGATCATGTGCAGCGTGCGGTGCCGTCGGCGGCCGGGGTTGGAGGTTCACAAAGGGACGCGGAGTCAGATGCGGTCGCCTGAATTGTTTATTTATTTAGCCGCGCAGGGTACCTGTGCGAAACGACGAATCGTTGAAGTCAACGGGTGATTCGTCATCGCTTGGGGGCGGTGCGTTCGCAAGGTAATAGGCCACGCTGAAGATACAGATACTCCTTGTACTTACGAACATTCGACTTAGGAACTTTCAGAGATACGAACAAAACCTGTCCGTCGTATGTCCAGTTGCCCGTTCCGACCGAGTTTCGGGTGGTTTTTCACTGGCACATCTGAGCCGAGCCAACATGAGGCCAGCACGGTACGGGTGGTTTTACACTGGCACATCTGAGCCGCGCCAGCTCGAGGCCACGACGGTACGGGTGGTTTTCCACTGACACATCTGAGCCAAGCCAACTTGAGGCAAGCACGGTACGGGTGGTTTTCCACTGGCACATCTGAGCCAAGCCAGCTCGAGGCAAGCACGGTACGGGTGGTTTTCCACTGGCACATCTGAGCCAAGCCAGCTCGAGGCAAGCACGGTACGGGTGGTTTTCCACTGGCACATCTGAGCCAAGCCAACTTGAGGCAAGCACGGTACGGGTGGTTTTCCACTGGCACATCTGAGCCAAGCCAGCTCGAGGCAAGCACGGAACGAGTGGTTTTCCACTGGCACATCTGAGCCAAGCCAGCTCGAGGCAAGCACGGTACGGGTGGTTTTCCACTGGCACATCTGAGCCAAGCCAGCTCGAGGCCAGCACGGTACGGGTGGTTTTCCACTGGCACATCTGAGCCAAGCCAGCTCGAGGCAAGCACGGAACGAGTGGTTTTCCACTGGCACATCTGAGCCAAGCCAGCTCGAGGCCAGCACGGTACGGTGCTGGCGTCGTCGCGCGCGTGACTCTCCGCGGCTCGGTTCCCGCAGTGAAAAAGAGCAACCTGGACCGTGCCGAGGGCTGGCTCGGCACGGCTCAGATGTGCGCCAGTCGAAAAAAATAAACGACACACACTAGAGGCGTTAGATTTGATGTGAGGAGCTCCCAGATGAAGCAGCAATTCTGAGATCATTGCACAGGGGTCCTATGGAGCTGCCGAGGGCCCCCGACATCTCCGAACACCCCCACAACCCCCCCCCACCCCCCCCACAACTCCCGCAGAGCCGCTGGGAGCCGCTCATTTGCGATGGGCCTTGATGAAGTTGATGAGGCCGTTGGTGGAAGAGTCGTGACCCGTGGCCGGCTGGGCCGTCGTGAGCTCCGGCTCGATCACCTTGGCCAGCTGCTTCCCCAGCTCCACCCTGTGGGGAGGGGGGGGGGTGGTGTAGCGGTTAGCGCTGCGCTACGAACCCGGCGATCCGGGATTCGGACCGGTGACGATTATCTGAACCGGTATTCTGGGTACGTGTCTGTGTGCTCGATTCCTGCTCAAGGCCAACACCAGTGACGATTATCTGAACCGGTCCTGGGCCTCCCCTAGGTCAACTCAGCCTCTAAATGAGTACACAGACAGACGTACGAACTCACCCCCACTGATCGAAGCTGTTGATGTCCCAGATGATGCCTTGAACAAAGATCTTGTGCTCATACATGGCTGAGGAACAGTGAGAAAGCATCATCATGATTATCGTCATCATCATCGTTGTCGTCGTCATCTTCGTCATCATCATTGTCATCATCATCATTGTCGTCATCATCATCATCGTTGTCGTCATCATTATCATTGTCATAATCATCATCATCGTCGTCATCATCCTTATTGTCATCATCATCATTGTCATCATCATCGTTGTCGTCATCATTATCATTGTCATAATCATCATCATCGTCGTCATCATCCTTATTGTCATCATCATCATCATTGTCATCATCATTGTTGTCGTCATTATCATTATTATTGTCATCATCATCGTCGTCGTTGTCATCATCCTTATCATCATTATCATCATCATTGTCGTCGTCGTCGTCGTCGTCTTCGTCGTCATCATCATCGTTGTCGTCGTCATCATCGTCAACATCATCATCGCCATCATCATCTTCAGCATCCCCCGGGTGTTGAGTAGACCTCTCGCTTGCTATGGCTGCAGGTCACGTGTCTCCTCTGCTCAACCGGCGAGCCAGAAAATATTCACCGAGCTAACCACTGCGCCACCGCTCATCGCATCATGGCAGCGACACACGTCATCATCAGATTCATAATCGTCATCACAATCAGCACCACCATACTCATCATTATCAATGGTACCAGATTCATATTCTTGGTTCTTTCGGTAAAGTCACGTAGAAGGGAAATAATAAAATAATATTAATATAAAACAATTAAAAAAATCGTAATCACCAGGTTCACCAGCATTACGATATTCATCAGCATCACCAGAATCATAATCATCATCAAGATATTCATCAGCATCACCAGAATCATCATCATCACGTTGTTCATCAGCATCACCAGAATCATCATCATCATCATCACGATGTTCATCAGCATCACCAGAATCATCATCATCATCACGATATTCATCAACATCACCAGAATCATCATCACGATGTTCATCAACATCACCAGAATCATCATCATCATCATCACGATATTCATCAACATCACCAGAATCATCATCATCACGATGTTCATCAGCATCACCAGAATCATCATCATCATCACGATGTTCATCAGCATCACCAGAATCATCATCATCTTCATCACGATGTTCATCAGCATCATCAGAATCATCATCGTCGTCATCATCATCATCAACCCGGCGGCACTCACCAATGAGGACGCCCAGCATGTTCGGGGTGAGCTTGGAGAACACGATGGAATTAGTCGGGCAGTTTCCCACAAACACCTGCGCACACACACACACAAAGACAAAGGTCCCCCGTGTAGCCTTAACAGACTCTCTCTCTCTAGCGCATGGCACGTGCGTGCAATTCACACGTCCAACTTTGAGTCTGTGAGCCACGCGATAGCTCCAGGAGTAGCGCGGCTAATGATGCTCAGGATGGATCGTAGGCAGGCCAGCCTAAATGTTTCTAACCAGCAAAGACACCGCTGGTACCAGTCATCGGCAAGTCTACTCAGCTCCACGTCCTCCTGTACCACATCACTCCATCTCTTCTCTAGCCCGTGCCGCGCCCGTTTAGCCCCCTCGATCCGGCCGAACAAAAGCTGTTCAGGCATGCGGTGGCTGGGCATGCGGGCTACATGACCCAGCCAACGCAGCCTTGCCTGCCGGAGGAGCTCACTGATGGGACTTTGCCCAGATCTTTCAAGGATTTGTGAGCTCCTCACACAATCCAGCCTGGTTAAACCCAGGATGGATCGTAGGCAGGCCAGCCTAAATGTTTCCAACCGGCGAAGATGCTCCACCAGGGGGGTCCACGTCTCGCAAGCGTAGAGAAGGGAGGGAATGACCGTGGCCGAGAAGACCTGAAGCTTCGTGCGGAGCGACAGACCAGGTAGCTTCCACGCAGCGTTACGCAACCGATGAAAAGATAATGCCGCTCGACTGATTCGGAGTGAGACCTCTGCTGTCAAACTGGAGCCGGTCATGAGCACACTGCCCAGGTATGGGAAACTCTCCACTCTCTCCACAACTGCCCTATCACCAATTGGGAGTTGTGGGGGTGGAGTGTCCGATGGTACAAAATGCCCAGGCAGGTGCTTAGTTTTGGTGGGGCTGATGGTAAGGCCCCACCTCTTAGTGGCAAGCTCCAGGTTCAGCAGCAGTGCCTCCAAATCCCCCTCTGAGTGAGCGGCAATTACCAGATCATCGGCATACATGACATGGTTGAGCAATAGGGAGCCATCCCTTGATCGCACCCGGGCATCGATCAGCCACCCATTGTATCTGTACCAGATGGGAATTCCTCCAGTACAGCTATTGAAGGCTTCACGAACTACGTGGTCGAAATAGATGTTAAATAATGTGGGAGACAGAGGACATCCCTGTCGCACCCCAAGGTGAACAGCGAATGGCTCCCACTCCCGGTCACGTAGTTTTACCCGGGCCCGCTCACCATCATGAAGGTTCTTAATGATCGTGAGCAGAGGGTCAAGGACTCCAAAAACACGAAGAACAACCCAGAGCCCAGGCCTACTGATGGTATCATAGGCCTTAACCAGGTCAATAAAGCAGAGTTGTAGGTCTTGTTGGAATTCCCTACACCTCTGCTGTAGCAGACGGACAGAAAATATGGCATCTGTGCAGGACCGCCCTTTCCTGAAACCACATTTGGACTCCGCAAGCCTCTCCTCAGCGTGCCTAGCAAGGCGATGTTGAATAATCCTTGCCAGGACCTTTCCCGGCACACTGAGGAGTGAGATGCCCCTGTAGTTGTTACAGTCTGGGCATCCTTCCAATCCTGCGGAACCCGTCCAGCGGTCCAGACTGTTGTTATTATGTCACGTACACATACGCAGCTACACACACACACAACAACAACAACAACAACAACCGCCATTCGCCACTAAGTGGCGGTGACGTCACCACGATGCTTGTGCCAGGCCAAGTGCACCTTGAGGCCACGTGAAGTGTCGAAAGCCCGCTGGCAGGAGGTCACGGGGCAGACCCAGGTGCCACTGGTCGACTGACCGAGATGACCGAGATGACTGGCTGATGCACCACCTGTGCCCCCTACTGTGCCAACTTGCTGTGCTTTAGCCACCCGGCGCTCCGCTCGTTGTTGTGAGCGTCGCTCCTCCGCCCTCCGTTGTTGTTGGAGGGCGACTGCCTCCAACTGCCCAGTAGCGTCCTTCACGAGCCTCCTCCACTGAGGCCGATCTTGACACCGCTGGTACCAGTCATCGGCAAGTCCACTCAGCTCCACGTCCTCCTGTACCACATCACTCCATCTCTTCTCCAGCCCGTGCCGCGCCCGTCTAGCCCCCTCGATCCGGCCGAACAAAAGCTGTTTAGGCATGCGGTGGCTGGGCATGCGGGCTACATGACCCAGCCAACGCAGCCTTGCCTGCCGGAGGAGCTCACTGATGGGACTTTGCCCAGATCTTTCAAGGATTTGTGAGCTCCTCACACAATCCAGCCTGGTTAAACCCAGGATGGATCGTAGGCAGGCCAGCCTAAATGTTTCCAACCGGCGAAGATGCTCCACCAGGGGGGTCCACGTCTCGCAAGCGTAGAGAAGGGAGGGAATGACCGTGGCCGAGAAGACCTGAAGCTTCGTGCGGAGCGACAGACCAGGTAGCTTCCACACACACGTACACACGTACACACACACGTGCAAAAAACAAAGATAAATATCCCCCATATAGCCTTAACAGACTGTAGGGGCAAGTGCTGTTAGCGAGCACCTATGAAGGCCGCAACGGCACACGAGGGGGTGGGTGGCCAGCACCACGCCCGACCGCCTTTGTCTCCCTAGTGGCGATGTTTACTACACACTGCACCAAGTACTCATTTGAGGCTGAGTCGACCTAGGGGAGGCCCAGGACCGGTTCCGATAATCGTCACAGGTGTAGGCCGTGAGCTGGAATCGAACTCGCGTCGCCGGGTTCATAGCGCAGCGCGGCGCTAACCGCCACACTAATAGTTGAAGGCAGTATAGTCCTATAGCAATAGAGCAAGTGCAAAAATCACTGCATCGGAATTGATAGCTTGAAAGCGCGGGGCCCGTAGGATTTGCTACTTTTGCTACGAGGATCATCCGGCACTGCCGCCACGTACCTTGTGAGGAAGAATGTTGTCGAGGGCCTCGCCAGTGAGGCCAGAGGCCTCAAGTTCAGCCTTGGCCTCGCCTGAAGTCTTCCCCCTCATCAGCGCCTCGGTCTGGGCCAGGAAGTTAGCGATGAGGACCTGGGAACGACGCCACACACGGGAGGAGGTTGTTGTTGTTATTGTTGTTGTTGTCGACCACAGCCACGATCAATCCACTGGTGAATGAAGATCAATGTGATGGTGGTGGTGATGTCTCTACCCCACGTGCTCATCAGTGTAATCACCATCACGTGCTCTATCCACTGCTGGATGAAGATCAATGTGATGGTGGTGGTGATGTCTCTACCCCACGTGCTCATCAGTGTAATCACCATCACGTGCTCTATCCACTGCTGGATGAAGATCAATGTGATGGTGTTGGTGATGTCTCTACTCCACGTGCCGTGTGGGTCAACAGGGTATGGGGGTTGGAGGTGCTCGCGAGGTCGGAGGTCGCGACCCCGAGGTACCGTGTGGGTGGACAGGGTATGGGGGTTGGAGGTGCTCGCGAGGTCGGAGTGCGCGACCCCTAGGTACCGTGTGGGTCGACAGGGTACGGGGGTTGGAGGTGCTCGCGAGGTCGGAGGGCGCGACCCCAAGGTACCGTGTGGGTCGACAGGGTACGGGGGTTGGAGGTGCTCGCGAGGTCGGAGGGCGCGACCCCAAGGTACCGTGTGGGTCGACAGGGTACGGGGGTTGGAGGTGCTCGCGAGGTCGGAGGGCGCGACCCCAAGGTACCGTGTGGGTCGACAGGGTACGGGGGTTGGAGGTGCTCGCGAGGTCGGAGGGCGCGACCCCAAGGTACCGTGTGGGTCGACAGGGTACGGGGGTTGGAGGTGCTCGCGAGGTCGGAGGGCGCGACCCCGAGGTACCGTGTGGGTCGACAGGGTACGGGGGTTGGAGGTGCTCGCGAGGTCGGAGGGCGCGACCCCGAGGTACCGTGTGGGTCGACAGGGTACGGGGGTTGGAGGTGCTCGCGAGGTCGGAGGGCGCGACCCCGAGGTACCGTGTGGGTCGACAGGGTATGGGGGTTGTAGGTTCTCGCGAGGTCGGAGGGCGCGACCCCGAGGTACCGTGTGGGTGGACAGGGTATGGGGGTTGGAGGTGCTCGCGAGGTCGGAGTGCGCGAC